CTTCAACAGGTAAGCGGCTAGACTAACTGCAGGACAAACCACGGGTTACTACTCAGCAATAAAAGGAATGAAAACTATTGATCCATCCAATGAACTTGGATGAATCTCCAGGAAATCATGCTGAGAGGAAAAGTCAATCTCAGAAGATAACATATTGTATTGTTTCATTTATATAACATTGGGCACTGACAAAGTTTTGGAAATGAAGGTCAGATTAGTGGTTGCCAGCAGGTGGAGAAGGGAGGGGTGCAGGCTGGAGAGGGAGGTGGGCGAGGTTATGAAAGGGTCACTCAAAGGACTCGTGCGGTGTCGGAACTAACTGCTCAGTATCTCGGCAGCGGTCGGTCCGTAAAACCCGGACTTCTGGTGATACTGCCCAGAACCTCGTACCCGCGCACACAGGGAGACCTAGTAAAACGGGGAATCTGAGAAAGAGCAGTGGGCTGTGTTGATGTCAATGTCAGCGCCCTGCTGATACTGAAATGGGGATTCACCCAGACACGTGTGCCCACATTCATAGCAACATTTTTCCCAATAGCCGAAGGTGGAAACAACCCACATGTTCATCAGCAGATGAATAAACATGATGCTGTACAGGCAGACGAGGCATATTACTCACCCTTAAAAAGGAGTGAAACCAGATACATGCTATATAATATGAACGCAAATTGAAAATATTATGCTATGTGAAATAAGCCAGACATAAAAAGATGAAAATAGTATGATCCCACTTCTATGAGGGACCTAGAACAGGCAAAAATGTACAGACGGAAAGCAGAACGAGAGGTGCCAGGGGCTGGGGCAGGAGGAAGCGGGCTCGTGTTTAATGGGTCCAGGGTTTTGTCTGGGGATGATTAAAATGTTCTGGAAATGGATAGTGGCGATGGTCGCACAGCAGGGTGAATATACTTAAAGCCCCTAAACTGTGCGCCTAAACTGGTTAAAAAAGTAAATTATATGTATGCTTTACCACCAAAAAGAGTAGAAAAACATTTTGGTTGTAATATGGTATTACAGTTTTGCAAGGTGTTCCCATCGCAAATTTGACTACGTGCAAATCTGCAATTATCTCAGCTTTTTAAATGGAGGAAAAGAATGAATTATTGAATGAAAATTACACTTCAAAAATTGATCATCTCTCCCCTGTCCCCCCGTCACTACCACAAGAGCCTCTGCAATCAAATGGATTGAGTCTTACTTACTAGTACTATGACTTAGGCAACTTTTTTAGACCCTCAGGTTCCTCACCTGTAAAGTAGGGGCATTAAATGTTTACCTCAAAGAGTTTGTATGAGGCCCAAGATACACGCACCCAGCACTGTGCGGTTAGTTGCTTTTATAAATTGGGCGGCAATGTGTTGTCGGTCACTGTCAGCTCTTCAGAACGCCAAATACATTTTCTGTTACATTGATGTTAGTGGTGGTTTCATTTTAAGGCTTGCCCTCCAAAGTCTTGGATGCAGTGTAGCTCGAAGAAGGGACGTTGGTGGCAATTAAATAGCAGAGGACAATTCTGATGCAATGTATCATAAAACAAAATGGGAAACGAGCAAATCAAACCAGAACAGATTTTACCATGAATGCTGGTGTTGAGGGAAGAGCAAATGTAACTAAAGAATTAGTAAAGGGAGGAGCACCACCAGGAAGCCTTCCTGGATTTCCCCAGGGCCAGGCTGTATGCTTTTTCCGTGTCACACCCTCCCTGTCTACCCAGGCAACTCACAGCAGTGAGACTGCTGTCGGTGACAATGCGGCAGGGAGTGGGACAGTTTCTGGGTACCTGGGGAAAGGGAAAGACAGCAACCAGCCAATTCTACTCTGGACGTAGCTAAAGCAGGAGCGTATCTCTTCTCTGTTCTAGTGTCTATCTCTAGAGAGTCACATCCGATCTCTGTCAGAGTGGATTCACTCATGGCCTTGAGCCAGATTCCCTGGGTATAAACCTGCTCTACCACTAAGCAGTTGTGTGCCTTGACCTTATCTTTCTCTCATCCGTAAAATGAGCATAATAACAGAACCGGCCATATAGGGGTACTATGAAAATCCCAAGAGTTAGCGTGTGTGGAAGGATTAGAATAGTTAGTGCTGCACAGGGCTTTGCTCTTATTATTGCTATTCACTTCCCTCTGTCTCCCTGGGCTCCCACAGTAGGTCAATTCTGCATTAACTACTCTAATATTGCCCACGTGAGCCTCTGTGTTGGCACTTTCCACAGTCTACATCTACCCATGGGATGCGTGACTGACGCCTCTTCCCTCCTATGCTGACTCTATGCCATGAGGCAGGATCCGACTCTGATGCCCCGAAAGCATGTCCCCATCCTAGCCCAGTGCCTGGCACTTCAGAAGTCCTCAAGCTTGGTTTTTCCTTTGTTCAGATAAATATACACCTTTAATATTAGGGAGCAAGAAGAGAGGAGTTATAAAAGTTCCAGGGCCAAATGATACCATCCCAAAACAACCAGTTTTGAAAAGGACGTCACAGAGCAGGCAGGGAAGAGGTTGGACTCCCACCCAAGTCACCTGATTAAGACAGCAAGGCTCTCTGTGGGTTGGATGCTACCACGCTCCCCTTTCCCCCAGTGCTGGCCAGTTCGGGGACTGCAGGGGTTATTGCGATCTCTGCAGAAATGTTCTGGGTCCGGCTGGGTTTCAGTTCTCCACAGATGAAGAGGACTCGCTGGGGCTGAGGCGGCCCTCCGCGAGCAGCCCTGCCTACCTCGTGGTGGCTGAGCACTCTCATCCTCAGTTTCTGCGGCCTCGCTGCCCCGTTCCCAACGTACCATGCTCAGAGCCTTTGCTCCTGCTGTTGCCTCTGCCTAGAATGTTTTTTCCGCAGCTCTTCATAGGTCTGACTCCTTGTCATTCAGGCCCCAGCTCAGCTGAGACCTGCTGCTAAGCCCTCCATGGAGACTCCACCTCAACTCTCCAACCCCGAGTCACTCCCTACCCATGACTTGGCTTTATTTGTTTTCATAAATGTCTGCAGTTTCACATATGAAATTATCTCCAGTGTTTATTGTCTGTCTCCCCATGGGACCCGAGGACAGGGACTTTGTCTTGTCACTGCTGATCTCCCAGTGCCCAAAATAATCCTGGCACAGGGAAGGAGCCCGATATTTGTGGAGCTGCTAGCCTGATTGAATGAAAAAAACTTACCCTCTAGTGCTGTCTAATATGGTAGCCACATGTGGCTATTTAAATTGAAATGAATATTAAAGTAAAATTTCTAGTCATATTAACCACATTTCTAGTCCTCAGTGGCCACATATGACTAGTGGCTACCATGTTGGACATGGCAGATGTGGAACATGTCCATCACTGCAGCAAGTTTTGTTGGGTGGTTCCGACGAGACCATGCACATGGATTGTACTTTCTTATATTTACACATGTCATTTTTTCTGCGGGGAATGCTTTATCTGACCCTTAAAAAATGCTACACATGTCAAATTTGGCAATATGTTAAAACAAAGGAAAGCATTAATATCAATGCAACAATTGCACTTCTCAAAATGTATCCTTAAGGAAGTAATTGTTTATATATGCGATGATGTAGCTACAAGAGTGTTCAATGTAGCACTGTTTATGATAGCAAAAAAAAAAAAAGCAAAAAGGCTTGAGGGGCAGAGATTGGTTACATTATGTTAAAGCCATCAAAAACAGAAGACTGTGTAATGACAGAGAAATATTTGCAAAACATACCTGTTTTTGTTCAATGAAACAGAGCCCTTTACAACACAGGAAACAAGCAACAAAACATGAGGGGATTAGGGTGGGACCCTAGGGAGATTTCAGTTTCATCTGTATGTTATCTAATACTTTACACTTTTCAAGAATGCAAGAAGCATGGATTTATCAGTTATTGAGCAACAATTGCTGTATGATTTCACCTTTTGTCAAAATGAAGTCCCTCGAAGTTGTAAAGACCAGATCAAACATTCTAACTAAAAGTGTTTGACAGAGTAGATGCTGAACAAACACCAGCCACCTTTAGGCTCAGAGAAAGAGCAGGGAGCTCTAGACAGATGAATTGAGGTGAATTTACTTTCTTCTTTTGGTTTATGACCCTTTTCTAAGGTTTATCTGATGAACATGTATTTCTTCCAAAATAGGGGAAGGGGACAATAAAATATATTATTAAAAATTGTTTAAGGCACAGGTGACAGCTCTCTCCATGAAGGCTTTCTTCCCTGATTCCTGGGTCATGAACTAGCCCATCCCCCACCCCAGCCTTGTAGATATTGGCTTGTATCTTTCAGGGGAATGCGAAACTTCTCTGAGTCCCTCCTCTTGCAAAAGCAGGTTCCATGAATGAGTGGGTGGCGGGCACCTCCTTCGTGAGCTGCCCTAGAGGGGGCTTGCCTAATGTTTGTTACTGCGCGGCAGCCACACTGGACAGAAACAAGCTCCTGGATAGACAGACATTAAGCAAGGCGATCACCTGTCCATCCATTCTCCGCCGAGAGCTGGTAAGTGGGGCCCGCGGGCCCGCAGTTCGGGGGTTCCCGTATGCCAGCGACAAAGGGGAGGGAGGTGGCGTGTGAGAAGTGGCCTCGGGTGTTTGGGACGCTTCGGAGGAGACGGGTAAGGCCAGTAGGGGTCCAGATCTCTTCATCCCTCCGCCTACATCATCTGCTCTTTTTCTTTGGGCGGGGATCAGGCAGAAGGCCGTTAGCTGAATGGTGTTCAGAACGATTCTGAGCGCCAAAAAGCCCCGCTTCTCCATCCCTGCTAACCTAGCGAAGGAGAGCGTGGGTTTTGGAATTTAACCTCCAGGTTTGAACACTGCTTCCCACGTAGTAAGTCTTAAGAGTTACTTAACCTTCCCGTGCCTCTAATTTCTTATCTGTAAAATGAGGATAACGATGAAAACAGCATTTAGGAAGAAAGGTTGACCTTCGCTCAGTAAAGGAAGTTAACTGTTCCTATTCTTAGCCAAGACACAGGCTGGGCAGGGAAGGCTCCGGCTCGCACGTGCGAGAGGGCCCCGTTTATTCCCATCAAAACCGCAGCCGGTCAAGCTCGCCTCCTGGGTGCGAACTGCCCGCGCCCCAGCCAGGAGCCCCGGCTTGCAGCCCAGGGGCCGCCGGCGGGGCTGCGGCCAGCTGCGCTCCCGGCCTAGCTGCGCTCGGGTCCAGCGAGCGGAAGGGGCTGGGCCGGTTGGAGGAGCGCAGGGAGGGGGTGCGCGGGTGGCGCGCCGAGAAGGGGCCGAAGAACTCCGCGGCGAAGGTGATCACGTCGGACGGCTTGCGCAGCAGGAGAAAGAGCAGGAAGTCGGAGACCAGCGCTTCGGCATCCGGCTGCTGTTGCAGGTACCTGGTGTGGCTGAGACGCAGCTCCTCCTGGGGGGCACCAAGCCTGAGCCGAACCCAGCACCCCGCCCTCCCTACGTCCCTCCAAGGAGGACTTAGGAACGCCGGGGCCTCCCAGCCCCCCTGGGGTGTGCATGGTCCCCAGGCACGAAGAGAGCTCAGTAATGGGGAATTCCTGCGGGGCGGGGGTGCGGAGGGGTGGGGGTAGAGACCTGGGGACTGCAGGCTGACTGCAGCCTCTCCTCACCTTGCGCTCCAGGAACCTCGAGTAGAATTCCACGTCCTCCTCCCACGCCAGGGGCTTCTTCTCAAATACTGGGCGTGGCTCAATCTCATCTGGGTGCGGAGGGAGGAAGGCTACTCCCGACCCCAGCACCCTCCTAGGATACCCAGAGATGCCCAAGAACACCCACGTTGCAGGCCCAGGGTTCTGCCCACAGGAGCAGCGTTGCTGGAAGCAGTTCGCTGCAAAATGATCGTCCCCTAATTGCCTTGGGGTCAAGGGCTGGAGGGCAAATATTTCGCCTGCGCTCTCAGGCTCTGACCGCACCGCAGCACGCTCCATCCAGCCTCTGCGCGGGGGAGGGCGCCAGGTTGCCACACCTCCCCTTCTCAATCCCTCCATCTGGGGGCTCCACTCACCCTGCTCCCTCAAGACAGGCATCTTGGTGATCACACAGCAGCCGGGGGAGCCCACCTGGACTCTCTTGGCCAGGTGCCTGGAGTGCAACAGAGGGGAAGGTGGGCCTCTCCCTAGAGCAGCCTACTCCCTAGAGAAGGGGAAGTCCCTGCCGTTCCCACGTGTCTTCGAGGGCCCAGGTCAAGTTCCATTTCTACTTCCCCGAATAATGGCCCCTGCTCTTCAAATTGGGTCCTGTTCCTGCCCCCTGGACACGCCTGCTGGGGTACCTCAGTTGGATCGAGACCTTTCGAGTTGTAAGCACTACGGAAATCAGGGGCCTTCTGATATGTGATACGAAAAACAAAAACACGCTAAGTTGTGAAATAAGGAAAGCCAAGGTTGCTTTGGTTACTGTTTGTTTGTTTTTTGTTTTTTAGCAGGGTGGATTTCAAGAACCAAATTCTTCTCCCCCTCTCAAACTTTCTCATGGTCTGGTGCCTGTGCTTTGCTGATGACGGTTTGGCAGTGTGTCAGACGCTTCTCCCAGCATTTCATGGAGTGTTGAGTTGCTCAAACCTTGTTGTTTTTCCCGTGGTAACACCCAACACCTGTGCGGGCTGTGCTAGCTATGCCTTAGACCCTGTGGGGTCGCCGTGAACTAAGTCCTTCGGTGAGGTCTGGGAGGCACCCTGAGGATCAGGAGAACGAGTGAATACATGAAGAAAGGGTGAGCGATGTGGAGGAAGCAGGGGCATTCCGAGCTCAACAGCGGCTCTCCCTGGTGGCGTCCCCAGAAACAGGAGTCTTCCTTCTCCCCCTCCCCCTCCAGGGTTGAGCGCCCAGGCTGTGCTCCACACTGCCCCCTTGGCTCCGCCGCCGGTAGCTCACCCATCAGGCAGCAGGTAGTACTGGCAGGACAGGGGGATTCCCTCGTCCGAATGTACAGTCTGCTCCACGATGAACACTTCCACCTGCTGACGGCCCACCTGCATGGTCTGGGAGCCCAGAGCTTCCTGGCAGCAGACAAAATGGAGGGAAGGAGGTGCGGTGGATGCCTGGGTCTCCTCGCAAACCTTTCCCTGGCCCCTTTCTCCATCTTACAGCTTCATTCCTTGTTCATCAGGGATAAGCAACTCTTGGCTGTCCAGACACTCAAGTGCCACAAGATTAGAGTTGTGCCCCCAGAGTTAAGTTGGGGGTCCCCGCAGAGCCGGCTTTACCCTGCTCCCACCCCAACCACTCCTGACCCGCCCCCCCCCCCCAAATGCTTCAGGTTGGCAGATTCTGTCGCAGGGATGAAGGTCAACCAATCAGGTGTGAGCGTGTATGGGGGGGAGGGCTATTTAGGGGTTGGAGGGCAGTGAGGCTCTGAGGGGTGCGGCTGGACAGACCTGTGGCCCCCAGGCTCATGCTGCCGCAGGTGGGGTGCTCCGTTGGAGCGAAAACTTAAACCTCCGCTAATGGCGGCCACGGGGAGAAAAGTGCTACCATAAACATGTGTTTCCAAGAAAGTGAGGTAGATGACATGTGCCTTTTTGTCTGTCAGGTTTTGTCATCGCAGTTTGTTAGGTGTGATAGAGAAGACTAGAATGTCATTTACAAAGTTGGCCAAATCAGCCCCCAAAATGTGCGTTCAGAGGCATGGCTTTAAAGGTCATGTATTGCGTTAGTCTGCAGTATGTGGATTTTGAAGTTTTAGTCAAAACAAAAGTGGAAAAGAAAAGGAAGACCCTTCCAGTTTGAGACATTATAAAGAATATTTACATGTACTTGGAGACACTGTATTTCCTGATGTTAAAAAAAATCTCTTTAAAAGCAGCCCTCCACTGTGTTTATTTTTCCTGGACTGACTTTTGCTTCCCCCAGCTGCTCACTCCACCTGCCCGCCACTTGATCTCACAAATGTGGTCTTACTTCTTCCTGCCTTTGGAAGTCCCAACCCCTTGTCTTGGTTTTATCCCCACCCCACCCCCTCTTCCGCTCCAGTTATCTCTCCCCCCTCAGCCTTCTCCTGCCTCTTCTCCTTTGCTCCCAGGCCAAGTCCCTCCCCCACTCCCCGCCTCCCTCCCCGCCCCCCACCCCCTCCGCGCCGTGCCCCGGAGATCCCTCACATAAGTGGAATAGCAGAGTTTGCCCTCCGTGTCCAGGGCCAGGAAGCGGGCGTTACTGGGCACGACCTGCCTCCAGGCCATCACCCTCAGCATCAGCAGGTTGGCAGCCTCGGAGATGAAGCCCTCGGTTGAGTGCGAGGGGAAAAATGTCACTTCAGCCCTCACTTCCTGTTCAGAACAAATCTGGTTTAGGGACGTAGAAGCAGAAGGGGAGAGGGAGGGTGGGCAAGCCAAGGGCAGGCATATGGCCCTCACCGCGTCCCACCGCGGGCTTCTGGCCTGACATAATCTGGCTCCTGGTTTCAAGTGGGTGTGGACTAGGGTTCCCATCTGGCCCCCACCCTCACCTCACCCTCCTTGACGCTTCTGGTCATGGCCAGTTGACCCTCCTCCTTCAGCAAACTCATCTTCCGTTCCATGGGGAGCACGTGGAACTAAGGGCCAGAGCAGGGAAGAGAGAATCAGGGGCTCCCTGGACTGCACACACAGGCCACACCTGCCAGGGCAGGCCGACAGCCTACTGAGCACCCAGTCCCCTCCTCCATCCCTGTCTCCCAGGGTCTCTATTCTTTCACCCTCGATTGGGATCACGATTGATCGGAGGCCCCAGGAGGTACCTTGATGAACTCCTGACTGTGTTGTTCCAGGATCTCCAAGTTCCATGTAAGATAGCCTGGGGCGGGGGGAGGGGCACAGTGCCAGCGCAGGAGACAGGGTTGGAGGTTGCAGGAGGGGAGGGTGGTGGCCCAGGCTGGAACACTCGGGAAACACTAGACAAAAGCATTGCTCTCGTCTCGAGTGTGGCTGTGATTAACCTCCCTGGCATCCCCTCCTCCCACACACCCTCTGTGCCTCCTTTTGGTCCCAAGATGAAGTCCAAGGGCTGGTCCTGAGTAAGGCCCTGGGAATGGGGGAGGGCAAGCGGAGGAAGGATGGGGGTGAAGGGCATTAGGAAGCAGGAACTCTACCCAGGAGAGAGTTTCCGTAGAGCATATTGTCCATGAAGCCACGGCTAACAGCGTGCACGAGAGGGCAATGAGACATGACACCAAAGGTGCTTTCGTGTGTCCCTCTCTTCACCTCAATGGTCAGCTCTCCCTCAGGCTCCCCTGTGTCTGAGACCACGGCCAGCGTCTCAGAGAAGAACAGCTTCTGCAGCTCCTCCTGCCCTGGGGGCGAGGATCCCATGGGGACAGATAAAGCCCCGGCTCCTAGGCCTCAGCTCTCTGATGCCCTGGCCACAAGTGTCCCACAGTCCCCACCCACCCCTTCCACCTCCACATCTCGTGGGCAGCCCCGCCTCCCCTCCCCTGGCCTCTACAGCTGCCAGCAGGTGAAGATACACCCCAGCCACCCCCACGTCCTGAGGTCTCTCCTTAAAAAATATCAACAAATATCAACCCTTTCCAAGTCCCGGGAGAATCCAGGCTGAGAGAGACTGCCGTCTGGGCCTTCTCTCCTCCCTCCTCTCCACGCTGTGCCCCCGCCTACCCACTCACTGCCCAGGCTCACTGAGGGAGGCGAGGAAGTGAACAGCTTCAGCACTGGCCTTCAGGGGTGGCAGAGTCTCTGGGTCTGAGGCCTGCTGCTCCTTGGCTCTGGGGTCTATGGAGGGAAACCAGACGGAGATGGCAGACCCTGGGGAGAAGGACAGGGCGGGGCAGTGGTCCCAAGAGCAGAATCCTCCAAGGCGACCTCCCTCTGGGCAGATTGTGAGGGAGAAAACGGCCCTCCCCTCTCCAGCCCCAGCAGCCCTCTTCTTACCCTTGGATTGAACTTTAGAGGACATGCTGCCTGCTGCCTGCTGCCTGCTGCCTGCTGCTAGCGACCCGATGTGTATCCAGCTGTCTCCATGGCAACTGGGAGCTAGCTACCATCTCTTAAAGGGCCATCAACCTACTTCACTCAACACCCAGACCTTAGAGGAAAAGGCGGGAACTGCGGGCCGGTTCTGGGACTCAGCTCAAGCCGGAGGCATTGTCCAGCAGGGGGAGCATGTGACATGCTTAAGAGACAGGGGGATGACATAGGTAATCAGGATGATCTTAGATGTTGAGGCCCAGAGTCCATGCCCTAACATGCACAGAACCCACTTAGACACCCTGTGAATAACGCTGCACGTTGTGGTCCTAACACGTAGCAGTGACGGTGCTGCAGTGACAGTCACGGCGACTCGTAAGCCATGCCGGCCCGAAGTGCGGCACTGTCCCCCTGGCCTCACATGCACTCTCTCAACCTGCAGAATAACCCTGTGGGTAGGTGCTTTTCCCCCTCCATTTTATGGCTAAGACGACCGAGGCACCGAGAGGTTCGATGTCTTCCCAAGGTCACACAGCTAGTAACTGGCAGAGCCAGGACTCGGCCCAGGGCAGTCTGGCTCCTGAGTCAGAGAGAATTTAAAGAAAGGAAGCACCACATAGACGATACATTGGATCTCAACGAATGGTGCCATAACATGGGTAGCAATTAAAGACAAAGGCTTGAAAATTGAATTATGACATAGCCAAACCCCAGGCTGTGGGCTGTCTGAGCCCCACCTGGTAAGCGTTGGAGCCTGTGTCCTTGTGGCTATAAAAAAGGGGCTCAGCCTGAAAGGGTCACGCAAAAGAAAAATCTTGGGAGGAGGAGGGGGGTTGGGTAGAAAATGTGAGAGAAAGGATTAAGAAGTACAAACTGCCAGTTATAAAATAAGCCATGGGGATGTAATGCACAGCATAGGAAATAGAGTCAAGAATACTGTAATAACTGTGTACAGTGGCAGACAGTTACTAGACTTATTGTGGCGATCACTTTGTAAGGTATGTAAATATCTAATCATTATGTTGTATACCTGAAACTAATATTGTATGTCAACTATAATTTTAAAATCAATAAACAAGCCCTGGCTGGTGTGGCTCAGTGGACTGAGCACCTGCCTGCAAACCTGGAAGCTGCTGGTTGGATTCCCAGTAGGGGGCGCATGTCCGGGTTGCTGGCCAGGTCCCTGGGGGACTGCGAGAGGCAACCAATTGATGTTTGTCTCTTTCTCCCTCTCTGCTCCTCTCTCTAAAAATAAATAAATAAAATATTTTTTAAAAATTAAAAATAAATAAATAAATAAAAGAAAAATCTTGACATAAAATCTTAGTCACTTAGAAGTTACGTTCCCCACTCCCCCAGCCCACCCTTGCCACAATATCACTTAGGAAGTTACCATATGTTGCTGTGTATAGTGTGCACTTTTGCCCAAACTTTTTAGGAAAAAATAAGGATGTGCATTATACATGGGTAGTACTAATTCCATACCTACATGTGTTTTTAATTCTTTTATTTATGCTTATGCATTAAAGTGTAACTCTAGAAAGCAATAACAATATCCCTATGCAAAATAATACCCTGGAATATGATAATCAGTTTTGTTTCTAAATATAAATAAATAAATAATTGAATTTAAAAAAGATTCTTTTCCTAAAAGATTGGCCCCAAAACATGGGTGCACATTATACATGACAAAATACGGTAATCTTCAACTAGCTTTTTATTGGGTAATTATCTATCAACTTCAAGAAAATTTAGAATTGTGTGTGGAACTGCTTAAGAGAATCTAACAGTGTTAGTGTTTCTTTTGTTACATTGTGCATATTTTCTATTTCAAATACTTGAAAATGTTTAAAATAATTTGGTTTGGTGGGGTGCTTAAGAGATAAGCCTGGAGATTCTAATTTAAATCAGACAGTTGAATATAGACTATTCTTTGAAGTTAAATTCTTACTGGGATTCTAAAACCATTTTTTAAAAAATCTTGAAATTTACTCTCTATATTTACTTATTATATTACAATAAAAGTACGTGGGAGGTTGGTTTGTCAGTCAGTTGCTTTATTAAAAAACGAAAAAACAAAAATAACCTTTTAGCCCTGGCTGGTGTGGCTCAGTGGACTGAGTGCCAGCCTGTAAACCAAAGAGTCACCGGTTCGATTCCCAGTCAGGACATGATCCTGGGTTGCGGGCCAGGTCCCTAGCGGGGGACACATGAGAGGCAACCACACATTGATGTTTCTCTCCTTCTCTTTCTCTCTTCCTTCCCCTTTCTCTGGAAATAAAGAAATAAAATCTTTTAAAAGAACCAAGTTCTTTTTATTTCACTTTATTTTTTTCCAGCTTTATTATGATAAGTATGGTAATCTACTTATATATAAGGTGAATAAGTGTGATATAAACTGCCTAAAGCAGTTTTAATTTTAAAAAGACCAGTTAGTAATTAAAGTCTTAGAAGTTATTAATATTCTCAAAATTTATGGTTAGAATAATGTGAATGGTTAGTTGAACTTAAAAGTTTTTGAAATGCTTGTTTTAAAATTCGGAATTTGTGAAATGGAGTATTAATCTTAAAAGCCAAAGTGAATTATGAATAAGCCTTTCTCTGCACGTGAGCCATTAGCAGCATTAAGAAAATTCATAATTGCTTTGGAAAGCAGTTTATTAGTTCCTCAAAAAGTTCAATGTGGAGTTACTGTATGACTTAGCAATTCCACTCTTAGGTATATACTCGAGAATTGAAAACATCTGTCTATGCAAAAATTGTGCACAGATGTTCATAGAACCATTATTCATAAGAGTCAAAAAGTGAAAACAACCCAAGTATCCGTCAGCTGATGAACGGATAAGAAAAATGTGGTGTATAAATGTAACGGGATATTATTGAGCCATAGAAGGAATAAAATACTTATCCATGTTACAAGATGAACCTTGAAAACATGTTGAGCAAAAAGAAAAAGTCATAAAAGACCACATATTGCACAGTTCTTTTTATATGACAAGTCCAGAATAGGCAAATCTACAGACAGAAAATAGACCAGTGGTTGCCTGTTTAGGGGTGGGGGGTGCGCAGGCAGGAAGCGACATCACATGGGCGCCTCTATCTGGGGTGATGGCAATGTGCTAAAAGTAGAAGGCAGTGATGATCGGGAAAACTGTGCCTGTACTAAAAACCATTGAATCCTACACTTTAAAAGGGTGAATTTTGTGTTATGTAAATATATTTCAAAGTTAATTTAAAAATAGAAGACTTAAATAAAATCTAGAAAAATGCAAACCCTATTGTTTTCTTTCATGTGTGAATTACATGAAGTTTGACAAAATCCTTTTGATTACTAGGACGAAGCTTGAAACAACAAAGGCGCTGGCTGGTGTGGCTCAGTGGATTGAGGGCCGGACCAGGTCGATTCCGAGGCAAGGGCACACACCTGGGTTGCGGGCCAGGTCCACAGTTGGGGGTGTGCAAGAGGCGACCAGTCTATGTATCTCTCACACATCGATGTTTCTCTCCCTCTCTTTCTCCCTTCCTTCCCTTCTCTCTAAAGGTGAATAAATAAAATCTTAAAAAATAAAAAGAGCAAATTGTGGTCTAGTGGCTCTTTCAGGGGGGAACAGCCCATGCTGTTCCCCTCCCTGTGTCCCCTGCCCGACTCCCTTTGAAGCTCTCCTCCATCCACTCACCTCTCCACTCCCCTCCTCCCGGGAGCCCTCCTTCTCAACTCTCTCACCCCTCCCCCACATCCTCCCCCTTAGTGCTGGCTATTTGGCAAAGCGACTCACAGAGGATCATCAGTTTCCTGTCTACTTTCTGACCCTCTGGAAGATTTCTGTCAAGGACCTTGGTTACTGTTCTCCCCCGAGGGCCTATATAGCCAGTGGCAGGATGCTCCGAAAGGGGTTGGCATCCTAGCAGTGCGGCGGCGGAGGGTAGGTTGGCCTCTCTGAGCCTGTGCCGTGGACAACCTGTCCCCTCCCAGACACTGGGGTGGGCAGCTCCTGAATAACATGACTAATGTAGAGGGCGCTCACGAATGTGCCCAATGCTGCAGGTGTTAACCCATTTAATCCACACAATTACATCTAAGGTGGTGCCAGCATCATCCCCTTTGGATACGTGAGAAATGGAGGCACAGGAAGGTTAAGTAACTTGCATAAGGTCACCCAGTTAATAAGTGGAATGTGTGGACTCCAACCCAGCAGGGCCAGCTCCAGAGTCCGTGTTCTCAGCCTGTTTGTTCTATGGTCCCTGATGGACTAGCCCCGCTCTCCTTAATACCAGTAAGAGGAGAGAGAGGCTGCTGTTGACTGAACACCACTGTGCTGTTGTTTCGTTCTCCCAGGCCCTGCAAATGAGCCTGTGGCTATGAGCCACCTGTCTGGTGTTATCGCGGCCAATCAGAGGCAGAACCTGCGTTAGTATCAGGATCCGTCCAACTCCAAATCCTTTTTCTTTTCTTTTTTTTAAAAAGAATTTGTTTCTTTTTAGAGAGAGGTGAAGGGAGGGAGAAAGAAAGGGAGAGAAACACTGATCCCTTGCCTCTTGCACGCCCCCAGCTGGGGACCTGACCCGAATCTCAGGCGTGTTCCCTGAACAGAAATCGAACTGGTGACCTTTTGGTTTCAAGGAGGATGCCCTACCCACTAAGCCACACCAGCCAGGGCCAAGTCCTTTTTCTTTCTACCACCCTGTACAGCCTTTGCTGGAATCTGGGGTTTACTGACCTTCAGGGTTAGGCTCCCATCTGCTTTCAAAGCCTCCAAGGCCCTGGAGGGCCAAGACCAACCTCTAAGACACTCATGCACACACAGACCTCTTCACGCCTACGTGTCCCTGTCAACAACTTGCCCTGCTCTTTGCGCCCCTCTGGAATGCTTAGGGCTGCCCACTTGGCCCCCTAGTCCCTTTCTTCTTTTGTATCCCAGAGAGACAACCTGTGTCAGAAAAACCAAAGAAAAAATGAACTGCTTGCTTGTTGGGTTTTTTTTTGAGGTTTTATTTTTTTAATTTAATCTTTACTGTGTTTTTTCCCATTACTATTTAGTCCCCTTATACCCCCTCCCAAAAGCAGTCACCACACTGTTGTCCATGTCTGTGAGCCCTTTTTCCTTTTTGCTCAGTCCCTCCATCCCCTAAGTCCCCCCTCCCCACGAGCCATTATCCTGATCTCCATCTATGAGTCCGTCCCAATTTTCCTTGATAGTTGTTTGTTCACTAGTTATTTTTAAAACTGCATATAACTCAGACACCTTGAAGGCCGTATGTCTACCTCCATTTCTTTGCTATAATCAATTATAGCAGCAAAAAGCCGACGTAGCATTTTACAAAGTGCCTTCATATGCCTTTTCTCCTCTGACTCTCCTAATAGTAAGTGGAAATGATACTGAAGGATTATGATTTGCTGCCTTGCATCCTTTCTGGTATCAGACCCCCTATTTCTTTGGCGGACCCTTTCCCCGTTCTCAGTGCACTGCGTTTCAGCTGGGTCTGACACTGCCCTTCCCCGCATAGTCACAGGGCCTAATCTGATCAGTCAGAGAGGTCCATATGCTGAACTCCTATGATTCGTTCAGAGCTGGGCACATGACCCAAGCTGGACCAATGAAACTCAGTCCCTAGGACTATGGGAGGTTCCGCTAGGTTTGATGAACTAGTAGCCTGGTACTTCTAGAGACAATTTGTCCATTGCAGGGAGAAAGCCTGACAGAGAACAAAACCAGTACAGAAAAAAGCAGAGTTGAATGATGCCAATACTGTTCATCTTCATGCCTGAACTCACATGACACAATACCACATTTCTTGATTTCATGAGCTGATAATTTTCCCTTTTGGTTTAAGTTCTTTTCTGTTGAGTATTTGTCACTTGCACCTGAAAGTGTTCTGACTTGCTCAAGCTTGTCATCTCCATTGGAAGGTGAAGAAACTGAGATCAGAGAAATGACTTATCCAAGGTCACTTGGATACTGAGTGACAGAGCCAGGATTAGAACCCACGTCTCTAAGGCTAGTGACTCCTGCTGTCTTCCAAGCAAGGAGCAGGTTGCCTGGTTATTGCTGGTCAGTTCCAACTCTAGAAGGAGCATATGCCATCATTCAGGACAGATGCTCTGGTGAGAGGATCACGCAAGACCCTGGGAAAATGTGTCACTAGCTTCAAAGAACCATTACCAAGTGACACTCAAAGCAAGACACACCCAGAGTGACCTGGCCCTCAGAGCAGTGACACACTCACAGAACATGGTCAACTGCCCTTCTTGAGGCAGGTGAGGACCACGGCCTCTTTCCCCATGGCCACCGCAGGTACCGCCCAGACCCAGCACAGCCTGGGCCAGGGCCTAGTGCCCTGACTTGGGGTGAGGGCTGCCTAAGACAGGAGGCTATGCCTTGAGCCGGCCCCAGGGAAATGTGGAGCTAGGCCAGTGCTTCAGCCTTTGGCCATACCAGTGCCACCTTCAAGAATTCTGCCATAGTCCCTGCCGGTGTGGCTCAGTTGGTTGGAGCATCGTCCCATAACTGAAAGGTTGTGGTTCCCAGTCAGGGCACATGCCTAGGTTGTGGGATTGATCCCCAGCCTGGGAACCAATCCCTGGTCCAGGAGCATATGGGAGGCAACCAATTGATGCTTCTCTCTCGCATCAATCTTTTCTCCCTTTCTCTCTAAAAGCAATGCAAAAAAAAAAAAAAAAAGTTCTCGGGTGAGGGTAAAAAAAGTAAACAAACAAGAATTCTGCCGTAGCCAAGTGTCACTTTGCTTCATGATTTCCTATTTCAATATATATCTTTAATTTCTGTCATGAATTGAAAAGTGGTGTCACTTGTCCAAAATATTGACCCCAAAGGTAAATACTGGGAAAACAAAACAATGTCATTAAAACTTATCTCCAGATCGTGGTGTCTGGCTCCTAGTCAGGAAGACACTAAAGAGAGGCCAAGGCCTTGGGCTCGCAGTGCTTTTCACGGCGGCTCTATGACCGCGTAACACCATCTCCTTTGTGGTCGGGGTGTACTTGTGCATCTCAAGCTTTGGGAAACACTGAGGTAAGCAAATTGTAGGCCCTCAACAAATGCATAGGAGCCCAGCAGGATGTATTCATAGCATTGTTTCTGACCAAAGCTCTTAAAATACAATAACTCCAGGCTGGTGGACCTGGAACCAGCAATAAAGACAAGCCCACGCAGTGACCAAGCCTCTGTTAAATCATTCATTCATTTAACATTTATTGAGCGCCCACTGCGTGCCAGGCACCGTGCTAGGCGCAGAAATAGAGATGCATAAGATACAGTCCATGCCCTGAAGGGTTCACAGTCTAGAAGGGGAGACAAACATGTAAACAAGTGAAATACAGTGGTAAGTGCCAGGAGAGAAGCATTTACAAAGAGCAGAGGTAGCTTGGAGGGGGAGAGGCATGGGGGTTGTCTTCTTGGAGGAGGGGCCTTTGAGGGGGATGGGAGAGATGAACAGGTGTTTGCCAGGCAGACAAGGCAGGAGGAGCAGGGGAGAGGCATTCCAGTCTGAAGAAACAGCATGAGCGAAGGCACAGAGGCAGGAAATCGCATGTCTTTGGGTGCGGGGAACTCTAACTATTCTGGAAGTATTGCTAGAGTCGGTACCAGAGGCTGTGGCTAGAGAGGGAGGCAGAGGCCGGATGATGAGGAGAAACTGAGGGCAGAGGGCATCTTGGAGGCTCGCCAGAGGTGAGCAGAGTCTGAGGAAAGGCTCCTCCTTGAAGGAGGAGAAGGTCCCTGGCTGACCCAAGGTACGCCTGCCTGAGGACCCTAGGGTTCCTCTCTGTGGCCCCAAAGGGACCTGGACCCAAGACCAGAGGAGCTGAGCTAAGGGCTGAGCAGAGGGGAAGGGCCCAGGCCTGGGGGCCTGGAAGCTGCCCCTCACCCGAGACGCCTCCGCTCCCAGACTTCTGATTTCTGAACTCTGCTGCACGGAGCCCTCCCCCCAGCCAGGGTGGGGCCAAGGATCAGATGAGAAATGACACAGAATGTTCTTGGCATACTGCAAGGCGCCAGATGAATGTTGTAAATAGCTGAAAGGGGAAAGGGGTGGAGGATAAAGCAGAAGTTAGAGGAAGGCAGACATTCTAAGAGTAAGGGCCAGGACGGGAAAATGGCAGTGGCCCTGGTGAACGATGGCGCTCTCTCCCCTGGAATCAAGGGGCCCTGTCGGCCCAGAGCCGGGGCAGAGGCCAGCGGCAGGCCCAGGCCAGCTGTGCAGGGAGCCAGGATGACCCTCAAGACTGTTGGGCTGCAATCCCAGCAGCCTGTCGTGTCTCTCAGTCTGAGGTCCAGGTTTCCTTGGCAACCAGGACCCCCCCTCCTCCAGGCTGTAGGGAAGTCACTGAGGCAGACACCGGCCAGACAGCCAGATTTCCAGCCCTTCCATCTTTCTCAGAAATGGCTTTGTTTGAAAAACGCCTCCGTGGGGGCAGGGTGGAGAGGCAGGGGAAGGGGGGCAGTGAACCAGAGCCCAGAGGCCCCTCTGAGTGACCACTTTTCCAAGGCATCTCATCTCAGGCCACTTTGGGGGACCGAGTTTCTTCCTCACCCTGAATGGGAGAAGGGGGAAGGTGGGTTCAACCTGTTAGTGGCTCCTGCTGCCCTGGGTTTAGCGGCTCAGCGAGAGTGAGGCCTCTTGAGGGAGGGGCTGCTACCACAGCAGGAACAGGGCAAGGGAGGAGGGGACCCTTCCAGGTAGGTCTGGAGATGTCCCAGGGCCCCTCCTTTCCTGTTCCTCTTGACAGCTCAGCCTCACTCCATGGAGCCTCCAAGCCTTTGAGCTGTCCCCTTTCTCCGGGCCTCAAGGTCTCCCGCTTTGTCCCTCCTCTCCCCCGACCAGTGCTGGGGAATGACGCCCATCCTGGGCCCTGATGGAGGCGGCATGGTAGCGATGAGGGGGAGGATGTATGCAGGCCGTGGCTGGCCTCCCCACCGCGCGGGTGGGCAGGGGTGGGCTGGGGGCGTCACTTGCTCTTGTGCAGGTCTTTCAGGCGGCGGAGCTTCTCCAGGAGCTGGGCCCGGGAGTAGCCCTCATCCTCGCTGGGGCTCGGGCCCGGCCCCAGCGTCTCCTGCAGCACCAGGCAGTGGGTCCTCAGGAACGGGTTGTAGGAGCGCTCCTCTCCCAGCGTGGACGGGCACTGTGGGACCAGAGGCAGCTGGCTTTGGTGGGGAGAATCTGGAAAATGCACCCAATAAGGGAAGCCTCCCCGCCCCCTGCCCAGTCCTGGGGTCCAGGAGTTCTCACTCAAAGACCCATGAGGCTAATGTGTCAGAGCTCTGGGAGGGGCACAAAGGAAGGGGTCCCTCTGGGGAGTGGCTTTGAGGCCACCCTCTGGACCCCCAGTCCCGCACCGTGCTCTTGCGCTCCATCCGCTGCCTCTGCACCCACTGCATCTTCCTCTCCCGGGCCAGGTTCTCAGGCTCCACCACACCTGCGAAGCCCAGGTTCTCCTCCGCGTACTCATGACCTAGGGACCCGCGTCGGGGCCGCGAGGCAGAGCAGAGAAAGATTGGTGTGTGAGCAGAAGCCCTCCCCGAGGGGCAGCATTTCCAGGGAAGGCGGCCACAAGCCAGCCACATGGGAAGAGGCAGAAGCGATCCGGGGACACTGCCAGGCCGGCGGTCAGGAGACGCTCTCCAGCCCGACTTTGCGCCTGCCCACCTCTGCGACCTCAGTCGCCTCTGAGCCACCGTTTTCTTTGGCAAATAGAGAAAATAATGCCACTAGAACAAGGGTGGGTCTCTGATGCCTAGAACAGAGCCTGGCACATGTTAGGTGCTCAAGAAAGCATGACTGAATGGGTGAACTGAATATTCTGAGGATTAACTAAGATATTAGTGACTGTGTTTTAGAAAATGTGAACATGCAACTTCTGTAGGGACATGCAATGTACAAACCGGCATGTGGACGGCCGGACATACAATGTATGGGTATGGATGCACACAATGGATACACGCAGGCTGGATTCTCCCCCGATAAGCTAAGGCTGTTTTCTGTCCCAGACTCTGGCTAAGCAGAGGCGTTATAGAGCCAATACTCTAAAAAGAAGGGAGCTCTGCCTCCCTGCTCCTGGGAGCCCCCAGAGGTGGAGCCGTGTCACCACTGGGACAGGAACTGGGTCCAGGGGCACCCTAGGGGGGTGAAGGCTGGAGGGAGTGGGGGGCACCTCACCAGGCCACAGCAGAGTGTCATCCCCCAGTCCCAGCACAGTGTCCAGCGAGCTCAGCATGGTCTCGGCAGTGCCCTCAAAGGTCCGTCCTGGTGGGGTCAGGGGCGCGTTACAAGACACAAGGATCACGCAGTATGGCCTAAGGCACACGGAGTGGGGCGGGGACCAGCTTGTGCACCTCCGGCCGCCAACCCTCAACCGTGGCCCTGGGAGCTGGGCCCACATACCCACCCCAACCAAACCCTTTTGAAGGCCTCCAATGCGCATGCTGACGTGTGGGTGGGGAGGGGGTGCCGAGCCCTCAGGCTGGGCTCTCACCACCCCGGTACGGTCGTGTTGGGGGGCTCCTTTCCACAGAGCACCTCCTGCTTTGCTTGTGCTGCCCTGTGGGGCTCCATACAGCCTGGGACTTTGATCCCCCAACCATAGCATCATCCTCTCGCTCTGGAGATCTCAGGTTTTTGTAACCGAGTCCCCTGGTCAGTGTATCAGAGCGCCAGGTTGCACCCAGTGGAAACAAACGCCCTGCGAGCTCTGTACTCAGTTACAGGCATTGTTGCATTCTATCCAGCCCCTGTGGGAAATTGTGAGGCTATTAAAAAAGACCTGTGGTAACAAAGGCAACTGTTGCCCCAAATCAGAGTGACCGCCAAGGCATCACCTGCACTGAAACCAATGCTTTAATGCCTTTCACGGCCCTGTGGCTGTCCTTGGGCCTCTCCCTTCTACTCACACCCTCCCCCTTCCCTTGGGGGAACTCACCACAACCAGAGAGGAAGAGCAGGTCCCCTGAGAAGAGGCAGGAAGGACCCTTGTAGGGCTCCCCATCCAGTAGGTAGACCAGATGACCTTGTGTGTGGCCAGGGGTAGCAAGAGCCCGGATCTGAAGTCGTCCCACGCTAACCACATCTTGATGACAAAGGGGACTGAGGAGCAAGGCAATAGGGGAGAGACAGTACTAGAGCTTATGCCATGCTGGTCCTGCCCTACCTTCCCTAGGTGGTTTGCAGGAGTCGAGGCTTCCATGCCAGAGAGAGAAGGTATCCCCAGTGTCTAGGACTTCAGACCCAAACCCTCCTCCTCCTGTGTTGGAGACCAAGGCAGGATCAGCCTGGGGGTGGGCAGTGCCCGTCTTCCAATGGGCTATGATCTGCTCTCTAAGGGCCAGGAAGGGCATCAGGAAAGATCCGTCTGCTGACACCCCTGAAATACTCCACTAAAGGATAGGGGGTGAGCCCGTGAAAGTGCCAGCCCACCCCTGGGGTCAGGGACTTACTGGGTGAGGTAGGGGATGCCGTCCTGAGGGCTCCCGTACACCCTACAGTCCTGGTGCCGCCGACTGAGGTCGCGGTTCCCTCCGCTGTGGTCCCTGTAGGCAAGGAGAGGTTTTGAGAGGCAACTGTACTGGGCCTGCTCGCCTCCCTCTTCCCCATGGCGTCTCCAGGCCTGTGAGCCCTGCACATCCCTGGCTTCTGGACTGGGCCAAGCCGGGCCTTCGTTCAAGCTGTTTCCCTGCCCAGAACGTCATGTCCACAACTTGCCACCCCTTTTCTTCTGGCCAATACCAGCTGATCTTTTTGACCTTTCTCAGCTCCAGAGTCATCAGCCTCTAATTCTTCCAGGTGGACCTGATTATGTCCCACCTGGTGCCCACCAGCCCCCTGTACCCTGTGCCACCTGCCAGAGTTGTCATCGTTCGTCACCGTTGCATATAGACTTTCATGCAGGCCTGTCTCGCTTATTGGACTAGAATCCTCTCGAGAGAAAAGATCTCAGGTTTGTCCATGTCCAGTGCATGGTAGCCATCTAATAAATGCTCATGGAACAAGAGACAAACGCCTGCCCTGACCCCCTCTGGGGCTTCAGAAGCTTAACAAGCAGAGCATTAGGAGACCTAGTCCTTCCCTCCCCTCTCTGCTAGCGCCCCAGTATTTCATGAGGAAGGTGGGTGGCCCCCACCCAGACTTCCTGATCCCCAGCCCAGCCTGACCTTACAGGGCTCAGACCTGGCAAGCTCTGCTGGGGCAAGGGTCAGCCGGGGAAGATCATCTGCACCCAGACCCCCGCCCCAGTCCCTTACCAGTGCTTGTGAGTGCAGAGAATGGCGACCAAGGTAACACCCTCCTTTTCAATGGAAGCCTGGAGGAGAGAGGAGTTATTGAGATGGAGGAACAGGACGCAGAGGGAGACTGGAGGCAGAGAGAGATGGAAGAGTGAGTGCTGGGTGGGTGGGAGGGAGGGGTGAGGGAGAGGAAGGGGGTGGAGCTGGAGAATGAGAAAGGATAGGAGGAAAGGGTTGGTGGCAGGGTGGCTGAGACCAGCATGGGCTCATGGGAGAGGGTGGGGAGGTGGCGGAGAGGGGAAGGGAGAGAGACTTGTGGAGGGGGCAGGCACACAGGCACAGGCACACACAGGAACAAGAAGTGGGCGGGAAAGGCAGAGAGCCCTGCTGACAGAGAGAGGTAAGGAGAGAAGAGGGTTAGAAAGGGGCCACAGTGAGTGGGACACAGAGGAAACCCACTAGGCCCACAGTCTTGGGTCAGCATCGCCCTCCCTCTGGCTCTGGTTCCCTCACTGCTGCCCTCACCCCCTTCTCCAGCCATGCTGGACACCTGCCCGCCCCCAGGCGGTGGCCTCTGTGTGTGAGTGCCTGCGGAGGGGGCGCATCCCACTGGCAGAAGGACCGGGACCAGCCCCTCTCTATTGAAGGGAAGCTGCCCGTCCCCAAGGGCACCGCAGGTACCCCTGCTCCTCACCTGCACAGCCTGAGGGTCTGAAGGGTCCACAGCCACAGCCAGCCGGGCCTGGGTGTCGATGATGAGGTAGCTGTAGTTGTCGGAGAGGACAGGGATGGGAAGCACCTTCACTCCTGGGGGACAGAGATGGGCTGTGGGTGGCATGAAGGGCAGGGAGTAGGCAGGGATGGGGGCGGGCGGGGGGCACAACTGGGGGCAATGTTGGCCCAGGGCAGCCAGAGCTCACCATTGAAGAGGCGGGGCTGGGTTCTGGAGTGGCCCTTGGGGTAGCGATTCCTTGCCCTGCGCAGCTGCTGTCGGTAGAAGAGGTACCCAAGCCAGGTGCGGGTGTACAGGCTGTACCTGTGGGTGGGATGTTGATGCTCAGCCCCCACCCCTCCGTGACCCCAGGCACCACGTCTCCACTCTCCCGGCCACCGGAGTCAACGCAACTCCACCATCACTGTGTGCCTGTTTGCCCTGCTCAGTTCTCAGGACAAGATGGAGAACGAGACAGACACACCCTGTTTGCAGCCCATCAGGGAGAAGTGAAGAATCCAGAAAGACTCCTGGAGCATATGAGGGGTTTCTTCCAGTGAAAGGGGTGGAGGAGTGAGGAAGCTGAAATAGGCGAGAAATATATTTTGACAAGAGCAGTGCGGCATCGCCACAAGGGCGCCAGGGAATGCTGAACCAGTTCCCAGCCCCACCTGAAAATGCAGGTCTGGGGATTTGCATTTTTCTAACAACTCCAGGCGATGCTGATGCTGCTGGCCCAAGGATCACAACTCTGAGAACCACTGGGGTAGAGGAAACTCTAATAGCAGACAGCAGGGCTTATCTGGGGAAACTAGAAAGTTCAGTTGGCTGTTGGGTGCAGGAAGCAGGGAGAGGTGAGGTCGGACAGACTGACCACACTTCCTCCCTCCTCTGGCCACCACCCCAGGCCACCGCAGGCTACACAGCGAGAAGGCTGCAAAATGAACGAGGGGACCTGTGAGTGACAGAGTCCTCTAATACACAGTGCATTGTGCAGGGCCAGCTTCACCGGCGTGTGACCCCTGCTTGGTTTAATGCTCTGTTGTCGTCACCTTGAAACCCTTAACGATTTTACCTTGGACCTTGTATGAAGTCTGGTGGGACAACAGAACATGCACACGAGTGGAGGCAATCCACACAATACGTGCGTATCCCATTTCTTGCTGCCCTGTACACGTACCATGTTTGCGATGCCCCATGAGCACAGAATTGTGGCAGACCTACTATGTGTGGGAATTCAACAAGACCCAAAGACTGGGTGAGGGATGCACTGACTGGCCTGAGAGGCCACGCTTTCAGTTCAAACCAGAATTTGCTTCAAAGACATAGAGAATTCACTGGTGTTCTAAAGAACACGAATGACAAAGGAACCCTACCACATCCTTCTTTACTGGAGTTACGGCGCTGGATGATTGAACTGTCTACGCTGCACATGACGCTCCAGGTGAAAAAGGGGGAAGGTAACTGACCTGTTCTCTTTCTCGCTCATCAGCGAGCTGAAGGCTGAGTATGAAGGTAGCACGTGAGTGTGTCAAGAGGTGACATAAAAACAGTTTAGTTGTTTTGTGCAGCATTCCAGTGTTTCGGCCAAAACAAAATACATATCCCTGCACAAGCTAAGAAATGTGAATTACGTCGTTTCAGTGATTCCACATGTAAGTTAAATGTCCTCCCATTTGCATTTAAAGCTGGTATTGTACAATTTGAAAATAAATGAAGAAATTCATGCTAATAATTTAGAATTTTAGTTTTTCTGTACGTATAACGACACTAAATAGCAAATTAGAAACACCGTGGCAAGTCAAAACAGAGATGGTAGAAGGGAGGAAAAGCTTTATGCACGGCACTTTTTTCCTGCTTTTTGAAAAAGAGGCTCAGAATTTCATTTTACACTGAGCCCTACAAAGTATGTAGGCAGCCCTGCTAACGGGGAAAGAGCTGTCTCAGGCCCTGGCCTCTCAGAAGGGAAACTGAGGCTGGGCTGGGGGGCGGAAACCACTGCTTAGCGTTATGCAGCAAGCCCGCGAGAAAGCGGGGAGGGACTGCAGCCGACTGACCCAGGCACAGACAAGTCGAGGTGGCAGATAGATGGCAGCCCCCCGAGGGCCACAGGGATCTTCTGGGTCTGTGCTGGGGTGGGGGAGGGGTGTGGCACAGGGGCAACTGCTCTTCAGGCCCTTCCTGACGAGATGGCTCATTTGTCTGCAAACAATTCGATCAAAACCAAGCAGGTGTCCGTGAGAGCTGGTAGAATTGATATACTAAAGCTGGGTCACGGCGACCCCTGGTCTGTGTGCCCGTGCACTTGTGTTGGTTGGGGATTTTGACACACGGTGGAGGGGTTTTGTTGTCGCCTTTTGCGTCTTTATGTTCATTTTCCATAGGCCCTCCTTCTCTTTGATATTTTTTTAAATGTTTTTAAAATTCATTTTTAGAGAGGGGAAGGGAGGGAGAAAGAGGAGGAGGAAAACATCAACGTGTGGTTACATTCTGCACACCCCCTCCTGGGGGCCTGGCCCACAACCCAGGCATATGCCCTGCCTGGGAATCGAACCAGTGACCCTTTGGTTCACAGGCCAGCGTTCAATCCACTGAACCACACCAGCTAGGGCTCGCTTTTATTTTTAAATTTTTAAATACTTTTCTATTTTTTTCAATTACAGCTTACACTCAATATTACTTTGCATTAGTTTGAGGTGGACAGTAGAATGATTAGACATTTATGTAATTACAAAGTATCCCCCCCAATATTTCCAGAACTCACCTGGTACTATACAAAGTTATTAGAATATTATTAACTATATTCCCTACGCTGTACTTTATATCTCTGTGACAATGTATAACTACCAGTCTGTTCTTCTATTTTAAAATCAGTTTCAGTTGCTTCATACTTTCATTCATTCAACACTATTTAGTGAGGCCTTGCTATTAGCCCAGTCTGGGCACACAGTGAGGAGGCAGACTTAGCACCTTCTTGCAGCTTATATTCTACTGGGACAGGCAGGACAATAAACACACTGTCAAGTGAAAATGATGAAATAAAATGGGGAAAAAGGACAGAGGACGATGACCGGAGCTGCTGCCTTAGGTACTGAAGTCAAGGACAGCCTTTCTGCAGGCGACTTTCCAAGAAGCAAGGAGCAGGTGGTGTGAGAATCTCAGGAAAGCTCACAAAGAACCGAACAAAAGCAGAGTGCAGGACCCCTGAGGGAGGGAGGGAACAAGCTGGGGGCATTTGCCGCCTCTCGTGGGCGTGCCAGTGATGACCAAGAGTTGGCCCAAGAGAGATGCCCCAGCTGAAGGTATTGGTGGGAACAAGCTTATTATCCTGGATTGGAGTCTGGACCAGAAAAAGAACATTAGTGGGACCACAGATGAAATTTCAGTAAGGTCTGGAGAGTAGTTAATAATTTGTATTGATGTTAATTTCTTTTTTTTTTTTTTTACTTTTACTAGTACATATTTTATTTATTTTATGCTGAATTTACTCCCGAGCCATAAATTTTTGTTTTTTAGTTTCTTCTGGGATATCGTTTTCTTCTGTGCAACTTCCTGTTCTGGTTTAGGAACAATCTGTTCTTTTTCGGTGAGGATCCTCTCAATGTGGCAGGGAGAGCTCATGGGCGGGTCAATCCGCCCATGAGCTTGTAGGTTCTACGTCGTGTCTTGGGAGCTTTGTTCACCTGGATGTGCTCAATGACCAGAGAATCTACATCTAAACCCTTAAGTTCAGCATTACTCTCTGCGTTTTTAAGCACATGCAGCCAAAACTCAGTGCTCTTTTTGGGCTACCAACAATGTGTCCAGCCCCACTGTTTGGCCTGGGCACACCTACCAACTCCACCATTGTATTGAGGGAATGGGACACACTCCTTCTTTAAAGTGACATCTTTCAGATACTTGGTGGCTTTTTGAATATGCATACCCTTGATGGCCTGGGCAGTTTCACGGGTGTCCTTGAAGTGAACCCCAAGATTGGAACCTCGTGATTTGCATGATTTTGTGGGGTTTTCTGGGTTTAGTGAATAGTGAACCACCTTCAGAGGTGACCTCTGGTCGCTTTTGGGAAGAGGAAGAACGGAGGCTTCTGGGAGATTTACTCAAGTTAATTTCTTAGTGTTCATATGGGCGCTGTGGTTGTGAAAGAGGTTAACATTCAGGGGAGTTGGGTGAGGGGCATATGGGAATTCTGTGTGATACTCTCGCATGTCTGAACGTGTTTCAAAATGAAAAGTTTAAAAAGGATAAATAAGTAAGTTCTTAAAAGCACCCTTTCCTCTGGACCCAGCACCACCTCAAAGCCATGCTTAGAGCCCCACTCCTGGCTTCATTTCTTCGTGTTCAGCTAGGCTTCTGGAAGGCCCAGGGCCACTGCTAACGGAAAGATCTAGGTTCCAGTCCCGGCCTGACCCCTCCCAGCCCTGTGAGCTCAGGTGAGTCATTGGTCTCCCAGGTCAGATTCCTCATCCCCAAAACGGCATCATCAGGACTTGCCCTGAAGGACTGTGTGAAGACTAAGTGACATAAAACGAGGTAACAACTGGTAACACTCAGACAGCGCCTGGCATGGAAAGTGTTGAGCAACTGTTGTTTCCTTCCCCCATTCAGCCAGGCGCCCCTCACAGCGGCTCGCAGATGGTTGTCCACATCTGGGAGGGGCTGCTAAATGCTCCCTGTCTTTCATTTTCGAATGCTCATTATATGTCATTTGTTCCCCACGAAGGTCAAGGTCCACGAGGGCAGGAGCTGTGCATTAAGAATCTAGGGTAAACAAGGTCCTCTCTTTCCTTTGCTTTATTCAGCAAATATTTACTGCACATGCCGAACGGGGTACAAACAGCAGAGAACCAGGCAGCGGGTGAGTGGAGAGGCCCCCAGATCACAGAGGAAAACCAATCAATGAAGAAGTGGTTAGCCATAGCTGGCGACAGAGGAGAGGGGAGGGAGGGAGAGGCCTTACTGTGGACAGCGTGGTCCGGGAAGGCGTCTTCTCTGAGGGCGGGCAGCCCTTGTGCTGGGAATGGAGGGATGAGGGGGAGCCAGCAATACAGACAGTCAGGGTGGAGTCGCCCCAAGGTCCCCGGGCCGGGAGGAGTGGGGCGAGTTCCAGGAGTTTCCAGGAGGCCCAGGCAGGGCCTGAGGGGCAGAGCGCGCCAGAGCAGAGGTCAGGGAGGTGAGCGGAGGCCAGGCCATGGAGAAGGGGTGGAAAGTTGCTGGCGGCTTTTACCGCGGCGAAGCACGTGTTCTTACTTCCCTTTTTAAGAGTTCCCTGGGCTGCTGCGCAGAGGGCGCAGGGAAAGGGAGTAGCGTGGAGGGTGGCAGGG